GAGCATATGCATAAGTGATATATATATATATATATATATATATTGTGTGTGTTGCTGATATCTGATTAATGGAAATGGGAAATCGAATGTGACAGCTAAGATTGGCAAAACGCTTCGCCTGCAAAAGATGTAATTTTGGTTAAGGGGTGGGCATTTTGATTTTGGGGGATTTGGTTTGGTTTTACTTGGATTTGGATTTTCTCCAATTTAGAAAATCTGCATTTACTTGTGGTATTTTTTTTTGGTTATTTTTGTATTCAATTCCGGTAAAATTTTATTATAATAAAAATATCATAAGCATTTAGTTTTTATGTTAAATTCGATTAAATTACGGTTATATATATTGGGTTTAAGGATAACGGAGTGGAATGTGTATTTGAGAAGACGATATGGGTACGAGAGATAAAGAAACGTGAAGCCAAGTAATAGAACAACAAAAGCTGTGTTTAAATACCCCTAAGTTATATTTATAAATATTATTTGTAGGATAGAAACTATTCAAGACTCCATGGCCCAATGGATAAGGCGCTGGTCTACGGAACCAGAGATTCTGGGTTCGATCCCCAGTGGAGTCGTTGTTGATTAATTTTTCTATAACTATCCGAATATTATTTTGAATTTTTGTAGGCCAGATATCTATAACACTGGAATCCGGATACAAATCTTAAAATTAGATATCTGAACCTTTTGAATATATATATACAAAATGAAAAACTCGATACCGAATCGAAAGCTTGATACCATTTTTGAACCGAAAAAAAAAAATCAGTACTCTTTTCGAAATCAAATCGAATCGAAAAAATCGGCATTTATAAACTGAACCAAAAATTTAGTATTGTCTGGAACTGAACTGAAACAACACCTACTCTAAAACCCAACCAAAAAATTTGGTATGTTTCGTAAATAAATCACAACACATAATGACAGACATAAGAAATACCATACAAATCCGCAATTAAGAGTAAATCCAGGAACATTTTCGAGGTAAATCTCGATCAAGATTCTATAATCCAGCTAAAAATAGTCTGTCGAAATTGTAAAAAACCACGCCTAAAATGGGAAAAAAGGGTCCACGCATTCAAACCGAGTCCAGGAGCATTACCAGAACGCATGAAAATGGCAGCACCACGCGCCATCACGCGCTCCGTCTCGGTGCAGATAAGCCCATGAAAAGCTACCC